AAATGGTTTGGTTTTAATTTACAAAGCCGTACAACACAAACAAATATCACATCCCAAAAGCTCACACCACAGTCACTCTCCTAGTAGAATGACTGTGCTCATACCAATCATTCAAATACCATGCAGCCACCACTGCTAATATCAATTTCTTAAATCGTAATTTTATTGTTATATTGTACTAGTACTATATTTTGTCTTTTTACATGTATTTTATTATTAGTCACAGTGATTTTTGCCAAATTGTGTTCTCAAGTATATTTTTATTGACAAATTGATAACAATGAAAATAAAACACTAAATGGCAGCAGCAACTCAAACTGAAAATATTGCACTAAACGAAAGAACTAACACAGCGTGTATCGATGTAATCCATGGGTATGTGTTGTCTAGCTGTGACCCACTGTTATAGATGCACGTTTATTCTCTCTCTGTCTTTATGTTAATTGTAATCATCAAGAATCCGTAATTGCTACAGATAACATCCCTATTGTAAATCAGAACTTAGCCAAGGTGCAACATCTGGAGTGGATAAGACAGAGTTCTTCCTCAACTATTGATTAAGTTGGTCAAAAAGAGGTCAATTGAAGCAGGTATTATGTTTTCAACTAGAGGTTCTGGGGAAAATAGAGGCATTAGAAGTGTAATTTCAATGTCAAGAGGTTTGCATTAAATTATTATGAACAAATGACAAAGTTTACAATGCTTCTTTTGTATTTATGTAAATTAACATACATTCAGCTCTATGCACTGGCAATGCAAAGGACTTATGAATTGTTTTGATTGTTTCTTCAAAAGACTCACTCAAACTGTGGGTCACAGTTCATCTATCAGAGGGACTGTGTGTGGGTTTACAGAAATAACCCCACCGTTTTGGTCAGCGTCTTATAAATTGCACTCAAGCTAGCACCCTTATGCAATTTCCTTGACAGACCAAAACTGTAGGTTTACCGTATATCTGTAACTCAAACTTTTTCATAGTGATTCTCATACATGTATGTAGTATGGCAACAAGTTCAGATTCTGTCAATCTGTGATCACACATTGTATGATGTATACAAGCATAACAATCTGTAAACTGATTTTCCAAATTACATCATGCTACACGAGTATGTGTAATCTTGAGAATTAATAGCTACAATGAAAAAATATTTTCCTAAAATTTGAAAACAAAGTACCCTTTGTCAATCTACTTATTATTATGTCATCACAGGACTGACATTCTACATCAACACTGGGGGACATTTGCATCTCACTACAGAACAAAGAATTATGTAACCTTGATGTACTATCAATGTATCATTGTCCATAAGTACATGTAGTGATGTGCACATTGAGACAGTAAGTTACAGAATACATAAACAAAATAAAATTGTAAATACAATGGTAGGAAAAAATTTAAAATAAAAGTACAATTGATTTAAAAAAATAATAGCACAACAACATGTACATGAACCAGTGTTTGAAATTACCGGTCGCTGAGTCCATCAAGTTATCTGTCGGAACACAAAGTTCTGTAACTTTGTCACCCGGTTGCCCACCTACTTTTTGAGAAGTAGGATATATGATGACTGTCAGTAATTGTATTTTCTTATTATAAACAAATGTTTGCCGCTTGCTGTTTTGTTTCCTATAGATCGAGTTTCAGTCTGTGACATGGTAAAACTCAAATGCATACATGGCGAGTTTTACTGTGATTTTTTACGCACCATTCACAGACACCTTAAATATTGCATCATTTTCATTTTTGGAATATAACCACCGGGTGAGAAGTTATTTTGGTAATCTTGATTTCAATTGCTGGCCAATCGACAAGTATATTAGTAGTTTGATATGGTTTAAAACAATTCTTCTTTGAAAATAAGTAGTGTGAATTTTACTTCCTGAAAACCTCTACAATATCCTTAATACAAGTGAAACTATCACTAAAAGAATCAGCCATAAAGTATCAGTATTACTATGGAACTACATGATATTACTGTTTATGTATATTTATGTATTGTATTGAGAGTGATGCATTTATTTAAGTACATATACTGTACGTTGCTCACTAATTTTAACAGCAAATTGGTCTACCGACTTTTCATCAGAGCAACTAATTTTTAGAAATTGTTAGCTCTGGTGTCTTCCACATAATTTGCAGGAATTTATAACACTGATGTAGATGTTCAATGGTAGAGATGGTTGGCTATTAAAGAAGGACACCATCGTATCCTTGTCACTGTTCCATCAACAGTTACCTGTAACAATAATGATGATGAGTTCTGCAGTTGTGGTCACACATGACAATATTGAAGATCATCCTGCTCTGACTCTTCCAATTAAACTTCTAGGAATTCCTAGAGTTATAAGTCTTTCGTCAGATAAGCTGTCAAGATCAGGTATGAGCGAAGATACATGGTACCAACAAAGTTCAAACAGACTAGGTACTTCAAGCCATATTCGATACGTTTCGCCAGTTCTTGAACTGTCATCCAGCTTAGTAACTCCACCAAAATAGTACATACATCCACTCTGTGAAAAACAATACAAAATACAGAGAAAAAGCTTTACCAAAGCATTGTTCATCTGGGGGGGGGGGGGGTTAATATAAAAGAATCATAAGAGTATTTACAAGTTATGTTCAAAACTCACTTTTTCAGTTGATTAATTTCAGTATGTGTTTTTTTTCAGCATACTGTTTATAAGGTAAACTGAAGCATTCTGTTAAAACATTCATTTTCACTGGTGTTTAATTTTATTATTATGATTATGGAGCATATTCATCAATTTTACATGTCTATGTGGATTTAATTCAGCAAATTTCACTTATCGGAAAGAAATTAAAACCCAGTGAATAATTAAAGGTTATTTATTTTTCTTATACTCAAAACAGGTGTAGTATTGTAGCGTTATATGGAAAGGTATCCACCAAACTGATAAACACATTGAAAGAGTCCAGCGTAATTTTTGGAAATTTGTATATAGACAAGTTGGCTGGGACGTGGACACACAATATGAAATTATGTGCAATACTTTAAATATAGCCACGTTAGCAGCACGCAGAGATTATTTTGATATGGTTTTTATGTGTCAGTGTGTCTTAGAATCGTACAGTTGTTGTAAATTATCTTCTTTTTTCAGTTTACATATTCCACATAGTTTTAGGAAAATGTCTCTTACCAAATGTACCAATTGGACGCTTTGAAGTTACTAAGAATGTGTTTTTAAGTTGTTTTTTAATAACAACATAAACTGTGCAATTTTTAATCTGGGATTGTCTACTTTAAAAAAGAAGCTTAAGTCTATTATTTTCTAATTGTAATTTTGTTTACTGTTGTATTGTATTTAACAAATGTGTCTACTAACACACCACTGTTAATGGCCTTAGATGGCTGTTGTGATTGTATTAAATAAATAAATTGGCTGTTACTGGCCTTGACTATTGTCCTAGGCTTTGTCCAATATCAAGTATTATCATCCTAAGATTGATAACAGCCACTTGAGAATGGTAATTCTTTATATTCTTGGCCAAAGCCAAGAACAGTAACGGTTTTGTTATCCCTGAAGAGAACAACAAGGCAGAAAGCAAATAAAAACTGAGAGCAAAAACGCAAACATGGGAGTGAGACTCAAGACATCAGAAAGTGTGTCAATCCTTTTATCATCTGCAACAATCTAAGTGTCCCGGATACTATAACATCATACACCAGTTGCACACAAAACAACATCAGAGGCAAGATAGGTTAATATCAATAATCGACAAGAGTTCCTTTTGTACCCCCCCCCCCATCCCTAACCCTAACTCTAACACTCACTCCCAGTTACCCAATTCATTTGTATATGCCCTCTCTAGATAACTATACATGTCCTTAGGAGGGGCATGTACAATTAAATGGGGAGTGCTGGAGGTCAGGGTTAGGGTTAGGGATGGGGGATACAAAAGGAACTCTTTCCTAATTATCAAGTGATCATGTGACTGTTTTCAACCAATAAGATTGATTTCTTATATTTGAGGGATAATAATATGACTTACAGGTGTTATTGAGGCTGTATGGAAAAATGATTTTATTGGTAATTTGTTTAGGCTCGTCCATTGCAGAGTTGTTAAGTTGAGTCTCCACAAGTCATCGTATATCAGTGAATTATTGTGTCCACCACTAATAAAAACATCTGTAAATATTAAGGAAAAGTTTTCTTAGTTGGCTTGATTGAAGTTTATAACCATGGAAAAAATCACATGCACTGGTAACACTTTTTTATATAACATTTTGCTCAGCAAAATATTGGGATACATGTATTTGTAGTGTTATTTACAATTTCCTTATTTTTCCTCTTGATGGTAGCCAAAATATTGGCTATAAAAACAGAAATGCAGACAGTAAATTGTGAGTGTTAATCAGTAAATCAATAAATTTGATGGTATTAGCACTAAATTGTACTACTAGTAAGTTGCTTTGACTTCCTGTGTAAAGTACCCAGCATGCAATTTATCAAATAAAATTTAGTTTCTATTAAATACATGCATGGATTTCTATAAAAAAAACAATATGATCTTGTTCCGTAGTGTTCCATGCACAGACAAACTGACATCACATACCAGGTATAACTCATATCAGAAACACCAACAAATATTCTTTATATTCTTACCATTATTTCTCTGTGCACATGAATGGTAAATTCTAGTTGGAGGAAATCCTTTTAAATAATCTGGATGTGTACTGAGACTCTCCCACATAGACAATTTCAAGTCATATGCATAGATCTATAAAGACAGCATAGCAACATACCATCATTAAATAGTAAGACATTCAAGAAGATATATATCATGCTTGAAAACTCTCACTAATACCATATTTAAATGGGACCAGGGTCATGAACATGGGAAATTGACAAAAAATAGGGGTGGGCCTATACCCGGACATCCCCTGCAAAAAAAATTCACAAAACGCAGATCGAACTCGGACAGGGAATAGAACGGCAAATAAAAACATGCCAAATACGTGTGAACTCAAAATGAACTAAAATGTCAGATGTTAAACTGCGTAAAATTAGTTCCGGTCTTGACCAATACCGAATCAACTGTTAAACAAGATCAATAATAATTTACAAATTTACACAGTAAAAATTACGCAAGTTCATAGTTGTTTGAAAAAACTTCTTAGATCTCTCATTGTACGTTCCTTGCCATCTTCGTCAAAGTCGAAACCCTCAAAGTCCAAGTCGATGTGTCACTGTTGCCGCTTTATACAAAATCCCTACAGATTCATCCTGAAGTTTGACGATGACGTTGCACACAATTTTGACCTTATAATAGCACTTTTAATCCACGGATTTCGCTGTCTGTCAGCATTTTTAATTAATGTCTAATCACAATAAAGAGACAAGAAAACTGGGGTCGCAGCAAACGACTCTGCTACAATGGCACGTGTCATGAGGTCAATCTTTAGTTGTCTTTTTTTGTATATATCTATATAGTGGTACACAGTGCAGTCATGTATATTTGCATAACAATGGTGGTGCTATCACAGTGCAGGAGGGTGGGCCACCCCTGTATTTAAAATGGATGCGCCATTATCCAAAGTGTGGCTAGTGGCAAACCATGATTGGCTGAATTTAACTATGCAATTATGTACACCTGGGTATGGGTATAAAAGGCAGTCACACCTTAGCCATGGGCTTCCTTTTTTCCCATTTCGTTTTGGTTTGCACAAGTGAGGCAGGGTCCTGTGCTTTTGTTTCAATTCCTGAGTTTATGTGAACATTGGTTTATAAACTGTTCCTGTTCAGGGATGTAAAGTGGGCCTGTTGCGTGCTGTGGAAACGAACATTCTAAGACTCTACATAAGTGCTACACCGGGTGATGTCAAGTCAACAGAAAACCGTGTTCCGTGAAGTCCGACATGGAGTCAGAACTTCGCTGTATGCTGTTATCTGCAACAAAAAAGACAACTTCGTCGTGTTTCGGGTAGAAGTCAGAAGATTCGCGTAAACACAGATGGTCCAGCGCTGTGAAGGTCGGGAACTGTGAGTGCACTCGGGAAGTTACTAGCTTGGTTAAAGTTATGGGACAATTTATATTATTGTGGACTGTGTGTGCATTAATTTGGAAGCCATTTATTTGAAAGTACATTATTTCATTGCTTTTGTAATTTATCATGTATTAGTTGTTGCTGGGTGCAACTCAATTCTTATTTATTCAATAATAATTATTTAAATATATATTGACGTGTGATGTGTTTTATTGCTCCCCATTCCCCGTATATTCCAGTCCTTTATATACATATATAAATATGCTGAAAGAATTCACGCACACGGGTGGTAAGAATCTGGCAGGTCTGATGGTTTAATAAGGTTTGTAGAAAATTCCTGAGTAGTGCAGGTGAAATTCTGTTTTGTGTGGTTGCGACCATACCGTTTTTATTCGGCAGTGTACTTTAGTGACTTGCGAGTCGCATGTCAGACTGCTTGGCCCTTCCACACGTGACAGCATGCAATGCTTTTGTTTACAGTCTGGCAATCATCTTTGACCTTTAAGCAACTGCTTTACTGAATGGCATCACCATTAGTGTTTCATCAGAGGTCAAGTCAACATTGCTTTCTTATCAGACTAGACGCTCATCAATCATGGTGAAAATTATCATTCAGCATGTTCCAGCAGTTGAAATGTCTCACTATATGGATATCAAGAGTGGGCTTGAAATAGGGAATTTTTTTTTTCTCAAACAGAAGAATAATTTTTATGACAGAAATGCAATAGCTGTGATAAAAATGGTAAAAATGTTGGAAGTCTTCGGCGTGACATTGCAAAATTGCTGGCCCCAGTTGTGTGTTTGCAAGCTGTTACTGAATATTTTATAAAGCCAGACAGTGTGATTTCAACCAATCTCCCAGGTACTTTTCACCAAAAATTAAAAAAAATATTCACTAAAATTAGAGAATAAAAGATATCATCATGAAATGAACAAATTTGAGTGGTCCACATGTAGTACCTATATATGTAATATCAAAGCAATTGGACTTGCGGTTTTCAACAAGAAGTCAAAAATATCACTTTTTACCAAAAATTAAAAAAAATATTCACTAAAATTAGAGTATAAAAGATATCATGAAATGAACAAATCTGAGAGAGATCTATCCAAGGTACATATAAACTAAGTATCAAAGCATTCAGGCTTGTAGTTTTCAAGAAGTCAAAAAAGTAAAACATTGACACGAACGATGACGGACAATCACTCGTATGATAAGCTCCGCTCGACAAAGAGCTTCAATAATTTTTATCAGAATCACAACATGCTACAAGAAAGTCAAACAAATTTTTTTTATTACAATTGTAGAAAAAGCCCCCCTGGGCGTATGCCCGGACATGACCTCAATTTCTTTATGTATCAAAATTAGAGGGTGGATGTTTGTCCGGACATGGGCACTTACACGGATATGTACGATACTAATAATATTCACTTACCTTATGTAAATGAGGAATTGTGTAAACCTCACTCCAGCTATATCCTAAAACATATAGTTTATGATCATCACATGCAATGCCATGTCTATACATTCCTTCAGGTTGTATTTCATTGCTGCATTCCGACCCTGCTAACTTTTCCCATATGCATGATTCCAAGTTCAGTTTATAGAGTTCAGCATCAAAGTGAAAATTATCATTGGCAATTTTCCGGCATCCACCAAATACATAGAGGTTACCGCTACGTAGAACTGCAGCCTACAAAATATAATAATAATTTATTATGCAACTGTAATCTGCTGTGGATACAGTAAGGTAAAAATAGTGTAAAGACAACATAAAAAAATATAAAGACATTGTCATGAAACAGTCCCCAGTCGAATAGACCATTTTCCGTTCACTGCGAGAATCACACGTTATGCATGAAATCAAATGTAAAAACAGGAAAACAAAGGTCATAGCGTTAATAATGTGCTGTACACATTTGATGATAGACAATTTCGATTAAGTGAGAGTATTCAAAAGCAATATTCCTCTGTCAAAGATCGGTCGGTCGATGTGAGCTACGAAATAAAAGAAATTCGAGTTCAAAATCAAATTGTTCGATTTTGCGGCAGACGTTCGACGCGCGTCTTTCATGCATCTCGCGAGATGTCGCAGGTGAACGGAAAATGACCTATTGACAAATCACTTGCTATTATACTGTGGTCACTTTCCATACTGAAATCATCCTAGTGAATTACAGTACAGTATTTGCTCTATTAGAAATGCATCTCCAAAGAAGCACATATAAACCAAAAATCACACTCATTGTACACTGAAATCATACAAATATTACTTATTTTGAATATAGACACACCTCTGTAATTTATGAAAATGCATGTGCTACTAATAGAACAAATACAATTCATACAAATTGATATTTTATGTTTAGTATAACCATAAAAAATTAAGAACCTAACAATAATGCTAAATTTGGTGAAATAAACTGGCTTCATAAAATG